CAAAAAACTCATTTAAGGACCCCCAAAAAATTTACATTCAAGAAAGTGGACAAGAAGTCATCAGGACCGAAGCATGTAAGAGTTGATCTCCACGCTCTCAACATGCCAACAGCCGAGTTGATAATCACCTCCTCCATACTCATTTTTTGTTAAAAAATTCTACTATTCCTTTCAGCCCAAATTGCCCACAGCACAACTAGAGGAACCACCTCCCAGCAAGCTTTCCCTCTCTTGGACATTCCTTGAATCCTCCACCCAACTAACAGGATCTTTACTGAGATTAGGAAGCACCTATTATACTACTATGTTTTTAGATGGATGTGGGTTGGCCTACCTCGAGCTCTTCTAGCCCCTTCAATGTGTAACAAATCACTTGTTCTAACTGGTGCAATTGGTAGTCTTCTATGCACGTGCCCAAACCATCTATGTATTCTCTCTCTCTCTCTCATTTTATCACCTATTGGAACTACTCCTAGGTCCCTGAGGATAACTTCATTCCTAATCCTCTCCTTTATAGTTTTTACACTCATCCATCTTAGCATTCATATTTCTACCACATTCATTTTCTGGGTGTGTTGTTTCTTGACTGCCCAAGACTCTACTATATACAACATAGCTGGCCTTATGACTGTTTTATAGAATTTTCCTTTTAATCTAAGTAGTATCCGCCTAGCATAGTTTTCAAGGTGCCAAGGCGAGGCTATGCGACTGGGGGGCACCTTGTCGCCTAGTCGCCTAGGTGGAGGCGATGGAGTTTTTATGTTAAAAACATAGATCCTACGGTAGTTCCCTAGGTACCAAAACCATATTTCTTTAATAATAATTCCTGATTTTCATAAGAGAAGTATAAATTTCATATTTAAGTATAGAAAATCAACATATTCATGAGAAGAAAAGGAAGAAGGAAAATAAAATTCAAAAAATATAGGGGCTGAACCCTTATTTTTGTTATAGGAAAAGAAGAAAATAAAAAGTATTGGTAGTATTAGTAGTAGTAGTAGAAGAAGAAGAAGAAGAAGTAGAAGAAGAAGATATGGAAGAGGAAAATGTGCTGCTGATTAGATAAAATTTTTAGTTCTTCCTTACTTATTGGTTCAGGTTTTTAGTCTTTGAGGGTTCAATGCATTTAGCAATGTTTGTGTTGATTAAACCCTAATAAATAAGAAAATAGTAAAAAGAAATTAGTATATAAACACACAAAATCATTATTTTAGTTTAATAGTGTCTATTTTATAATTATAATCTCAAAAAAGAATGAATAAAAAAGTATTTTATAGTAGGAAGTTGAAAACTATTAGGCGATTAGGCGAGGCAAGCCTCAAAGGGCGCCTGCCTAGGCGTCGCCTTGACAACTATGCCGCCTAACACCTAAAAGTCCAGATGCATCCCTACATTTTGCCCGTCCTGCTCTAATTCTTTGGGTGACATCCTCCTCAATCTCTCCCTTGTTGAGATGCATATAATGAATAATTTATGAGCCATTGATGGTTGCAATGGTTACCTAGAAGATAGAGAGAAAAATCAGAGTCATTTAATTTGGGGCCTAGAATCACTCTAGGGTATGGAATGGGAATTAATCACCACTCATAGAATAATCTATAGGAATGAATATAAATTCAACTTATTCAACGGTGGCCAGTTCTACTTGAACTAAGAAAAAAATTTAAATTACAGAGTTGCCACTATCTTACTTTGACACTAACAAAATAACTCCTAAAAAATTTGTGCAAAATTGGGTTAGTGTGGGACTTGGTTTAAGGAGACCTTTAAGATACCTTGAAATGAATTGATTCCTTTGTTCAATTTACTTCAATACTGTAGAGAACACTGATGTGGGCCCCATAGCTACGGTCCCACTGTGTTCGTAGGGTAGAAGGTGTTCTAGTCTTCCTAGGGTYAGCTGTTGGTCATTTAGTTGYTTYAGTTRTTWKTT